GAGGGAGAAAAGAAGAAGCACACGAAGAGATTTTGAAAAGAGAGAGAGGGTTGATCAATTGATCTGCCGACCCACTCTTAAGATTTATATATGATGACTAATTGTAAAAGGGCTGAATTGCCCTTATTGCTTACATGGCAAATAAACTAATAATAAAGCTGAAATAACAAGTTGTAATAACAAACTGAAATAACTACCAACTAACACTGACATAACTAACAAAAAATATGCTATGCTGCCATACGAACACAGTGGGGTCCACATCAGTGTTCTCTACACAAATGATGATTGGACTAGGTCAATTGGTGACAAAAAATTCACTAATGGGTATTGCGCCTTTGTCGAGGGACGAGGACTTAATCAGGTAGAGGAGCAACAAGCAAAGTGTTTTGGCTAGGTCTAGTGCAAAGGCTTAGTACAACGCCATGTCACATGGAGTTGCTGAGATTTTGGGGATAATAAATTTGTTTAGTGAACTAGGGTTTGTCATTGATAGTCCCATGTCATTCTATTGTGACAATAAGACTACCATCAATGCGGCAACCAATCCAGTCCTCCATGATAGAACTAAGCATGTTGATCAAAAATGACAGAACTAGGCATATTAAGTGGATAAACACTTCATCATGGAGAAACTTGTAAGTGGGGAAGTATATAATTCCTTATGTCAATTTCGGAGAGCAGCCTACAAATGTTTTTACAAAGGGTCTTCATCGCTTGAGGCACAATGGTCTTTGTAACAAGTTGGGCATGATAAACATCTATGTCCCAACTTCAGGGGTAGTGTTATATTTATCACTATGTGCCACAAGGGCACTTTTTTTTGAAAAGTAAAGAGCAAGTTTCATAAAAATAAAAAGAATTACAAAGGAAGGTGATAAGAGCTCACCCAAGAGAAGGAAAGACTATTTGGACACTTCTTACACTAGACAATAACCACCAAAATACTCCGGAAAGAGAACAGCAAAACTAACTCCTCCGGCACCAAATCCTAGACCAAAAACAACGAGGACAACTATAAACGAACAAAGAAAAAAGCATAAAGGAGAATCTAATCTTCCCCATCACCTACCACCTCTTGGTTGTCAGCCATCTTTTTTTAACAGTAACAGTAATTTCATTAAGAAAGTTAAGATGAGAAATAGTACAGAATCTGAGTAGCCTCAGCTACCCCACTACTCTTTAAACTTTTCCACCTATTAAAATTGCTTTTCAGCCTTATAACTGAGCCCAAAAACAATGCTCACTGTTAACCCCTTGCTTCGCTAGCTGATCTGCAAAACCATTTGCTGCTCTTGGAGTCCACTGAAACAATAACTGCATGTCCTTCGTTATGTAATTAAGCTTCTTGATTTCATTTCTGAACAACAAGGGAGTCTTTCCATTCTAACCAGCTGATAATTACTTTGGAGTCGCCCTCTACAACCAACTTTCTCACTCCTAATTCCACATCTTTTTGTATCCCAAACACCACTGCTTTTAGTTCAGCTGTAGTGGAGTCTCCCCATCCAATAGGGCCCGAAAACAGCCCCACCACATCCCCCTTGTCATTTCTTATTACCCCTCCAATTCCAGACATACCCGGGTTGCCAAAGATGCTCCCATCAAAGTTTAATTTGAGGAAACCAGATACAGGGGGTTCCCAATTTCTTAAGACCTTCTATTTTGCTGATGACGAGGATGATACCGTCCTCCAAATCCTGATTATATCATCTGTAGTAAAATCTGAGAATAATCCCAAAGATTTTACCCAAGAGGTCATTTTTATCATAATCCCTTCTATAAGCATTTCCTTGTGCCTTATTTTTTCTTCAAAATTTCTCACCTCCCATAGCACCCAAAGCACTGCTGCCCATGTGCATCTCCATAGATCTCTGCCTCTTCTTTTTTGGTCATCTGAAAGTGGAAGAGTCAAACAGCCTTTCCAAGTTCACCGGGGTATCCCACCTGCATCCAAAGAGAGAAAAAACCATATTCCCAAATGAAGCTAGTAACAGGATAGGAGACAAAAATATGAAGAGCAGTTTCACCATTTGACTCACAAAAAACACACCTATTGGGTGAAAGGCACCATCCAGGCCTCTTCCTCTGCATCAAGTCGTAGGTGTTAATTGCACTATGGTAGACCTCCCAACAGAAAGCACCCACTTTGGGGGGAATAGGGCAACACCAAACTTCTCAGACTAGGAAGTCTACCCCAGGTTGAGTAGGAGAGACCAAGGTTTTAAAAAAGGACGCACAGCTGAAAGATCCAGAGGGATTAGGAGTCCAAAGCCTAGTATTTTGCTTAGAAGGATCGATATACACCCCATCAAGCAACTGAAGAATAGAAGACACAAAACCCAGTTCAGAATCTCTCACATTTCTGTGAAGACCCAGACTCCAAAAACCACCAGACTGGGAGGGAGAAGGGGATAGGAATCCAGCAACCGGTTTGCCCTTAAGAGAGGAAAGTGCATAAATTGAGGGGAATAAGGTCTTTAAAAAAGAGTCACCCACCCACACCTCTTCCCAAAAATTAATTTTGTTACCTGAATCAAGATCAAACCTGACATGACTGAGGTGCAACGAAACTATAGAAGGAGTTTTTGAATCGCTTTCCAAGGTGATGCGCTGGATGCCCTACTAAACACTCCAGCATCCCAACCATTCTCTGAGAGCCCGTGTATGCTAGTCACAATATTGTGCCACAACCTGTCTATCTCGTGTGGGTACCTCCATAACCACTTTCCTAGTAAAGCCCCATTCCTTTCTTTCAATCTCCCTAGCCCCAAGCCTCCAAACTCTTTCCTCCTAGTTACTAAATCCCATCTTACTAAATGATCTTTCTTCTTCTCGCCCGGTTCCAACAAGAAATCCCCCATTATCCTCTCTAATTTCTTTCCAATAGCTTGAGGCATACAGAACACCGAGACGTAGTAAACTGGAAGGTTTTCTAGGGTAGGCTTAATGAGAGTAATCCTGCCCCCCAAAGAAATATAATTCCTCTTCCACGTAGACAACTTCCTTTCAAACCTTTCCACTACTGGGTTCCAGAAATCTAAATTTCTAGGATTTTCCCCGAGGAGGAAGCCTAAATACTTCAGTGGCCGATCACTTCATAAATAGCCTAGCTCCCCAACCCATAGGTAAACCACTTCTTAAGCTAAATTGATCACTACCACTAGACTTTTATTGATGCTCACCTTTAGATTTGTCACTTTTTCAAAAAGGTTCACCAACAACCTTAGGTTTCTTGCCCCCAACTCACCTCCATTCTCACAAAAGATAATGGTGTCATCCACAAATTGTAGGTGAGTTACCACCACTCTCTCCCTTCCTATTCTCCATCCCTTTAAAAGACCAACCTCATCTGCCTTCGAGATCAATCTACTAAAGACCTCTCCTAAGATGGTAAAAAGGAAGGGGGATAATGGATCCCCTTGCCTCAGTCCCCTTAGGGCACCAAAAAAGTCCTCGACTGCTCCATTTACCAGTACTGAGAAGTGAGAGGATTTCAAGCATCCTATAATCCATTTGCACCATCTTACTCCAAAATCACACTTCCTTATCACCTCAATTAAGAATTCCCAATCCACAAAGTCGTAGGCTTTCTCTACATCCAACTTACACACAATGCCCTTCCTTCCAGATTTCTTGAACTCCTCCACACATTCATTGGCAATGAGTATTTGATCCGACATTTGTCAATATTGGATGAAAGCCACTTGGAATTGAGAGATGATTGATGCCATCTTCATCCCATCTCCCTCCTCCAATTACCCTTTTTCTTGATCTTTCTTCCTTCTTCCTCTCAAACTCTTCAAAGGCTTTTAAAGCAAATTCCTCACCTCCCCAAAAGAACAAACCCAAGCTTTTGCCAATTTCTACATCCCTTCTAGCCACTGTCTTGATAGAAACAATACCAGTTTTCTCCATCTCCTTTTCGAGACTTTTATCAGGGTCTCTAATAACAGCATTGGAAGCCTTCTCAGGAGCATCAATAAGATAATAAGTCCTTAACTGCTTACACAGGATAGTGGTGTCATGAGAATTTTCATTCTCCAGAACTTTATCTGTCGTTTAAAAAATCTTCCTTCTTTTATACACCCTTTTAAAAATCGATAACAAGGGCACTTTGTCTTTTTATTTGTTATTTCTTCCATCATCCTATTGGAAATAGATTTAACAGTGCCACCAGCCTCTTCTCTCTTTTGTTCTCTTCTCTTCTCTATTTTTCTTCTTTTCTCAAAGATGATAGATTCAGCTTTTTATTTCTTCCCAATCATCCCACAATACAGCATGAACCACAATAGCCCAATAAATTTTTCCTCTCCTGCTAAAACCACTTCCTTGCCATTGCCAAATAAAATCCAAAACACACTTCGGAGAAGTTCAATTCAACCCAACAAGACTCAAAATAATCTTCCTAGTTTCCTGACAATGATAAGAAATAATGATATGTCTGCCTGGTTTAATGTGGCCATGTTTGTGAAAGGAATCTAATATCCTTTAATAGAAGACTTGCACAACAACCAAACAAGTAAAATTTCCAAATGTAAGACGAACCATTAGCATTATATAAATTCAACATTTTAGCAAAAAAAAAGGATAAGTAAATAAAAGCAATACCAGAAGCCTTAGTTTCTGATCTCTATAGCGGTTATCTCTGATTGATTGACGTAAATCATCAACATCCTTCCTCTCTACAATAAAGTCAAGTACATATTCAGTGTCAAGATGTTTGTGCCGAGCTATCCATATTGCATCTCCAACAGGTAATCTTCTGACCTGTGGAAAGATGTGCATATGAAGTTATTTACTTATACCAAATGAAATGAATAATCAGATCGCCTAACAAACACTAAAACTATTACTCAAAGAAATGCAAGTAAACATATTAAAACCAAAACGTAGAGACTCAGAAATCCAAGTAATGGGACACTTGGAAGCCCCATTACTTGATACAAGAAATTTTATCATTAGTTGCATATCTGCATGTTATATGTGTCTGTTTTTGTGAGATATAGAAAGAAAAAGACCACTCTTTTAGGTTAACCGTTAAAAGTTGATCTTCTCCCTTATCAAAATTGACTTCGTAACACCATTATGATTGTTTCCATTTTTTTATTTTCCAACACATACTTTATCAAATTGTTTTGAATTTCATACATATGCTTTTCCCTTTTCATTTATTAACTTGGAAGGCATTTTAAACAAACCACTCATGAATTACGCAACCTGGAAACCTGTACAAGGGTATCATGTCAGAGACTGCAACTTTTAGTGCAAAGGTCATATCTAATACTGTATCCAGCCATGTCCTTGCAATATCCAGATAAAATAGCTCATGACATTCAGTAAAACATCAATCTATACCAATCAATTCAAAAAGAACAAGAAGTACCCAACATGGTGGCAAGTTTGACAAAAGTGACTTCTACGTTATATAAAAACTACAAAAGAAACTACAACCAACATTCAACTATAACAGTAGAAGTCAATGAATCTTTCCAGAAGGAACCTCTTTAAGAACTAACCTCTACTTGAATTTTGAATTGAGTGCTTAAGCTTTCAACAAATTTCCTACATCGAGACCTGCAAACCATAGAAATAAGTTTAAAAAAAAAACACCATTTACTACAGTGAACAAGTTTTTTTTTTTTTTTTGATGAATACAGTGAACTAGTATGTTGAAGTTTAAGATAAAGTTTCTTGCAATTTCAGTGTTACCTTGTGTTAAGAAAAGATAATGAACATTCACCAAAATCCTTTTACTACAAGATTACATATCAAAAAGTCTTTTAAGACGAATTTGAACAATTTGTTACAACATAGATCACTTTGTCTACCTTGAGCTGCATTTGATAAGAGTGCACAACAAATAAATTCAGTGCAAATGCAAATATGTATAGTTCATGAAAACGCAAAGTTGGTTTGGTTTTGCATTGATAAAATCTGCACTCTTGCCAAAACATATGTGATTGTGAGCGTACAAACACAAATTCCAAGACTAGAATCTACCTTTTTTACATTGACCAACTTTGAGTGCAAAGTTTATATCCACTTTTATAAAGCAAACTTTGCTCTCATTTTGAATGTAAACATGTCGGGGAAAAAAAAAGAAAAACAAATTTGCTGTCATTTTGGGAGATTTTAATGTAGCATCTGCCCCTTTAAGTAAACTTTTCTCCCATTAGGAAGAATAGTTATAATCAGGTATTTTAATCTAACATCTTCCCCATTAAGGAATACCTTGTAATTTAGATATTTCTAGTGTTAATATAAAGCATCTTTCTCATTTGAGAGAGATAAATTTGCTTTGGTTTTTTTTTTCTTTATTGATGGATAACTGATTACTTTATTGAATTTACAAGAGAAAGTGGGAAAGAGACAAAACCTCTTATCTCTCCCCTTAGACTTTAATTATAATTAAAAGTTACATTTGTGCCCAAAATGTTTGAATTCTCCCAACCCCTTGCTTGGCTAGTGCATCAGCCATCGAATTAGCTTTGGTTTGTTAAGAGAAGGAAGTAGGAGAATGGTGGAAGATATAAATTTTCTTTGGTTTGTAGCCCTAATTTCTTTCTCTCTTCCACTATTCTCCTACTTTCCTCTCTTTTTTTTCTTGATAGGAAAAAAAATGGTCCAAACTCTTTCCTCTCTTCTCTCATGTCACTCATAACAATAAAAAAAGAGTCCATTCAAGAGGAATTCAAATGTAGCCCAATAGGTGACAAGATGACGGAAGATTGATGTGGGCGCGTATTGGGAACAGCAGTAGCAATGATCCGGTGTTCTCATCCTATCCAATTCGGTAGCAACAATCTTATCCATTCAGCAGATTAGATTAGACTATCTTGTTATTCTTATCTTAT